CTGATGTAAATTAAGTTGGAAGTTGATCATTAATGATTAATGATCACTGATTCTGAATGGTAATACTTCCAACAATGTGGTTTTCCAGAGAAATAACTTGCAAAGCCGCAGATAATGCTCCCAATTACTGGCGCAGCCCACCCTTAGCAATAAGGTTGCCACGGAAACAGCAAAACTCTGATTGGGTGAGAGCGAAGGGGCGAGAATGAAAGGGAGATGGGGGCAATTTACAGCAGTTTGTTTCTTTTTTTTTTTTAAATAAATCAACTAGAATTTGTTTAAATAGTTTGGTTGGTTTTTTTTTTTTTTTTTTGCTAGGGAAGAACCATAGCCTTTGCCTGTAGGCTTTGGGGTTTTTTTGTTGTTGTTGGTTGGGGTTTTTTTGCACAGGACAGTAAGCTGAGGTCTGACTCAAACATCCAGAGTGGAAAAAAATCTAAGTGTTGTGAGCCCAGTCTATGTTTTTTTCCTCCAAAATGTTTTGAAGGAGAAGTATATAGTCATGGCTCTTTTTAATGACACTGATGGAAACTTCAATGCCTTTCAATATTTCTATCAGCTATGTGATGAGTCTCCCTTGAAATCACAGGAGCATGTAACTGAGCTCTGTGTGCAGGTATCTCAGAGACACAGAGGAAGACAGAATATGATGTATTTAAGTACGTACAAATAGAAGAGATAAAGTTATTTAGAAATTTTTTTCATTAAAATAGCTACATACCTTAAGAAGGTTAGATCCTAATGCTTTTTAGCTTGTCTTGATGTTATCTTGCTTGTCTGTAACTACATCATCGGAGGTTGTCTCACATAAATAAAGCTGGATTAGGCTGATTAATACATGGATAAGAGATTTCTGGTATATATCTAGCTCTTGCAAAGAAAGCTGGTATTTTCCCTTCTCAATTAACTAATCAAGAGAATAAATGTCCCCACAGGATATTAGAAACCTTTGTACTACTGAAATGCTATCTTTTTACGTGACCATTTAATATCACAAATTGACCATTTGTGATATTAAAGATTCTGCAAGATGTTTTACTAAAGCAGAGCATTAACACTTGTGTCTATCGTATTACAATGTGAGGAATAGCATCCTATTTGCTGATGGCTTAATGCTGCATCATAGTGAAGTTAATTGTTTAGGGCATGTAAAAAGGAATGTCAACTACAATGGCCCTATGGCTACTTTTTGTGTAATGCAATTAAAACTCGTAGCAGCATCTATATTTAAGTTTGTCTGACATATTCACTGTTTCTTATAACTTAGCTAACCCAAATTCAGTTTGGAATTTTTTTTCCAAAGTCACTGTCTTTCTCATGCTCATTTTTTTAAAATTCAGTTTAGTCCACAAGCAATTTTACTGCCACTGGGCAGAAGCTGTTGAAATGCAAATAGTCTTTCAGCAGAATTTTAACAGTTTCTAGCACTTGTTTGAATAGAGTACATATTTAACCACAGTATGTTACTGGAACTAGATATTTTTGCCAATTCTGATTATATGATTAATATTTCTCTAAATATGGGTCACTGAAAGTCACCTTTTTTGCATTCAGGAGAGTTTCTTACTACAGGTCATGGAACTTAGCATTTGTGCTGCCTGTGCTTCCTCTTTATGGTGATCAAACCATATTACCTAGTCTAGCTTGTGTATTGACAACGTCTCCTACCTTTGTATCTGCAGCAATTTAAATCCTTTTAAACCTCATCCAACAATGGAACCCAAAATGTAGTTTTTCCCCTTTCCTCCCTTTAATTCTGCCCCCCAGTTTCTTTTTTTTTTTCCCCTACCCTTTGCTGTTAATAAAACTTACTTGCTTCTGAAATACGGACTTCAGAGGTAGTTAAAATACAGCAGGAAAAAAAGGTGGCAGCTAAGGGTGAGCCCCTGAGAGCTACTTGGAGGGAGAAAGGGAAGAACAGTCACATGAGACACAGACTGCATCAGGGTGAGAGGAGGATCCATGAGAAAACAGAACTGAAAAAAACACAGAGAAAAAAAATCCAAAAAAGAGGGAATTGTCAGAGATGCCAAAATTACCAGTAGTCCATAAGAAATGCTATACTTCGTCAGAGGCAGTGTACTCCCCCTCACTGTGTATGTGTTGCTAGGCTTATGTATTATTTTGCATTTATCAACATTGAATTTCCACCTGCCATTTCATTACTGACTCAACAACGAACTCCTTGTTCCATGGCCATTTATTACTCATGGTGGCAGTGTCTGGCTCATATCCCTGCAAAATGAAAAGAAAAAGGCTCATTTTCAACTTGGATCCACTTTACTAGCTGACCTAGCATAGGTACAGACAGGGAGATTGGAAAGAAAGAGCAGTTTGAACGTCTTGCTGTCAGTAGTGCTATCATGATAGTTGTAACAAGCTTGTTTAAGGCTAGCATGGTATAGTCAGTGTGCAAGCTACAGGAATGTTGTTGGAAATGCCTAGAATTAACTAGATCCTAATTGTAATTGCAGTTTATGCCCATTACATGGTCTCCTAATTTCACTCATTATTTCCTGGAGTTGGATTTGAACCTGCTGCCTGCAGGGCAAAATTATCTACCTTTTCTAGTCTCAAGAACTATAGAAGGCAAGGTTTTAAAATGTTCGGTTCTCTCAATTTAGGGCCAGATTTTTAAAGGAGACCAGTTCCCAACCAGACACTGAAATGAGCACCAGATTTCAAGCACTGGGTAATTCAGTGGCTATTATTCCTCTGCAACATCTGATGTCAGGTTTCCAGGAGAGCTCAACATCCATGGGATGTCTTGGTAGCGTTTCTGTGTCCGGTGAAGCAGCGTCAGAAATTAGTCCTTTTGCTGGTGCTCTGGGAAGCTTTTATCCCCTAGCTTTCCCTCTGCCTCTCTTTCAGTGGACTGATGATCATGCTGTTTTTAAATATCTACTCTGCTAATAGGGTAAGTAAGTATGTGTGGTTTTTTCCAGCAGGTTTTTTTGTTGGTTTTTTTTTTTTTTTGCACGGGGGTGTCTGAAGGCAGACCTGTAAAACCTGTGAATCTGCTGGTGCACAGAGAGAGCAATCGAACATCAAACAAAACGCGCACATTCACGTTCCCATCCTGGATGTAAATGAACCGGCTGAATGAACACGTCGGGGAGAAACCCAGAGCCGCCCCCCCGTCTTCCTCACCTGCCCCCCCGCGGACAGCCCGTGCATTTCTCCGGCCGCAGCCCCTCGCCCTCGGGGGGCTTTGCGACCCCCCCGCGCCTGCTCGGGCCCCGGCTGCGTTTCCCGGTGCTGCCGCAGAAAAGGTGCCGCCCGTGCGCGGAATGGGATCTTCCACTATTGAGCGAGGCTTTGCTGAATGAGTCATCGGAGCCGGCTGGTATTGGCTGGGCTGGTGAGCACCCAAGGGATTGCCTGGCAGAGGCTGCGAGGCCTCGCTTCATTCACAGAAACGTGGGGATGCTCGCCAGCCCTTTCATTCACAGGCACAGAATCTCATTCACATTTTGCAGTTTCGCTAGCCGCTCCCAATGAAGAGAGCCATTTGGGAGCAGTAGGGTTTTCTGGGCAGTAGAGACACGTAAAAATAGGCTATGGTGTGTATATTTGCTGTTGCTATGCTAGGAGGACGAAGAGAGGAATGAATGCTGTGTGGATGCTGTAGCAGGTTCGCAGTGTGGTGGTGAAAGGCTATTCTGCAGATCACTAGAAACCTGCTTTTACACTGACTAGGACATTGCCATTGCTCATCACTGCTGGGATAAGAGGTGCTGACTTAATTTAATGTGTCATGAATATACTAATTAAATACCTGTGTTGGAGCTGCCTGTTTCACTGTATTTGCACTTTGTGTACTGCAGCTTTTAGTCATGGGAGAGGGAAGGAATTCCACAGGATTTTTCCTTTAAATCGTGCTGCGGTTAGTCATTTGTTTAAAAAATAACTTTGCACTATGCAACTTCTCTGGTCTGAATTTGTTTATAATGCAGTGTATTGTCCTATATCCAAAAGATGTTTTTCAAAGAAGATCAATTTATAGAAAAGAGCCATATGGCTTGTGATGGGCATTGTGCATCACAATGCTGTACACATTTTATATTTTTCAGAAAAATGTAGGAGAAATGAAATATCTGTTTTCTGCATGTTTTGCTACTTCTCAGATAAAGTGTTTGTGGCTGACATTTGTGCTTAATAAGACCTGGTGCATTTTTTTATTTTTCACTGCAGGATGTCAGTTTGCTGCTACCTGGATTTTAGAATATTCTTCTAGGGTTTTTTTCAGTTTTTCAGAATTAAACCAAACATTGCAGTGAATTGAAGACCCTCTTCATGTTTTTCTTTGGAGTGAGTATCAGTGGTGAAAGAAAAAACATCTGTTAAGCCTGTTGTTGGACATCAGAAAAATACTTTTCTTCACACATAGGTACTTATGTAATTCCTTCATTAAAATAGAAGGTTGTTGTGGAGTAACAGGGGAGAAGGATTTCTTTCTCTGTCAAAAATTGGATGTAACACTTTCCGTGAGAGACAGCATTGACACAAAGGCACTTGTAAAGTCTGTTAGGCTGCTTTTGTGGAAGAAAATGTGTATATTCTTTAGTTCTGTCATCTGTTCTGAAAATCTTCAAGGTGTCTGTGTTTTGGGGGGGGGGGGGGGGGGGGGGGGGGGATATTTGGGTAAATGTTATCCAGATATTTGCTATCTAATTGTGACTTCTTTATATAGATTCACAAATATGTGAGGTGGAAGAACATTTAAACAGAAGAATAAAGTGTAATGTTTCGTAAAGGCTGTTAATTCAGTTTTAAAGGTAATTGCCTTTGGTACCAAAAGGGTGGTGGTGGTGGTGGTGAAGAATTAAAGGTTGGAAGGAAATATCTGTTTGAGAAGATAGGAAAAGGAAATTTGAGAATTGATTGGTGCTAGTGTGCTGTAAGTGGGTGGATGGGTTTTTTTCGTTTTTTTTTTTTTTTTTTTTTTTTTTTGCTACAGGAAGTGATTTGCAGTGTTCACTGAGCCTTTTGTTGAAAAGGGTCCTTCTCATTTGTGTGAGTCATGCTTTTGCTGTGAGCGAGTTGGCAGCTCTAAGCAGGACTGGGATCTCTGTCACAGAAAACTGTTACTTCACCCAACCTTAACGGGGAACCATAAGAAATTTCTTAAAAATATATCTTTTTTTGTTCTTCCTTATACTCTTTTCTTTTTTACCCCCAAATCCTGTTATCCATCCGTGTTGTTATGAATCGCCTGCTATGTTAGCACAGGCATCTCCTGCGTTGGCATCAGATTTGCCAGAACATATGCAGGAAACCAGATAGAAGGGCATGCTTCAACGTACCAAGTATAACCGCTTCAGGAATGATTCAGTGACATCAGTTGATGATCTTATTCACAATTTGTCCATGAACAGCAAGGTCTCAGCAGTTGCCACGACTTCAACAACACCTTCATACCTGGTCTCGCCAGAGGTTCTCCGCAAGGACCAAGAAGATGGACCCACCACCCTGTGCACCCTCATCCATAAAGTGTCCCACTTGAAACTCTCTAACACGGGCAGCCTTTTGGGTATCAAAAACCTCTCCTCTGCAGTAAAGGAGCTTGCTGTGTCCAAGTTGCAGGGAAGCTCAGGTGCTTCTAGCTCAGCAGCAGGGGCTTCAGACAACACATGTAACCTTGTCTCTGCCACTTCGTGTTCTCAGCAGGACGCCAGCAAGATGAGCATGGGGAAAAAAACACGGTCAGAGGAAACGCACCCGGGAGGTGAAGACTGGAATCAAAGTAGCAGCTTTGTCAGTAAACCCTCTCGAGGATGGCTGCACTCGAGTGAGAAGATCCTGGGACCTGGTGTGACGTACATTGTGAAGGTTGGTCTGATTTCTTCCATTCTCTGTTTTTATCAATGAAAAATTCTCTGCTGGTTTTGATGACAGGCTAGACAGGCTGAAAGGATCTCTATTTGTATATTCCTTTTTTTTGTGCATAATGCATGGTATGTAAATGCAGGAAGGCAGGGTTGGGAAGCTGTGTTAATTTGTCAAATTAGAGCAAACCTGCAAATAGGTTCTTTGTTAGATAATGTTCTATAGCCGTGTAAAAATACTGTTCCTAAGCTAAAAGCTGGTTTTCTTACTTTCGGGGTTGGGGTTTTTTTCCTTCTTCTGAAATTCGGTTTTCAGTGTTATCTAGCATACTGTATATATCATGGATACATAGGCTTTCAATATGTCTGGTGCAATATACAGGAGGAAAGAAAGACTCCTTGACGTGTGAAGAACTGTTAATCTTGCATGATACTTCAGTTTGAAAATACCTCTAAGGACATGTGTGTTTTTAAAGTGAAATTATATTTGAAATCTTAGAGCAGTAAGGCACAGAGTGCAGTTCTTACCATGTTCCACAAATAGAAATACTGTTGTGGGTAGAGCAGGAAAATGCAGCTTGTTTTACATAATGAGAATTCAGCCACCTTAAATGTTACTGCTCTTTTCAGTTTGTTGATACAGCATGTCAAGAGCAGAGAATCCTAAGATTACAGGGTAATATTTCCATATGCTTTTAAAGTATTTTGAAATGACCTATTAAATTAGAGCCTTTGAGAGAAGGGTATGTGCAATTTTTTTTGTGGTCAGGTAAGATTCTGGTTACACCTTCCAGCACAGTGTGCAGAAAGTATAAAGATAACATTATTGTCTAGAATTTGTTCTTCAGTCACCATGTTTTATTTGCCAAGTGGCTTTTGTATCTTAAGTGTTAAACTGTTTCGTGGCAGACTATTAATAGAGGTCTATTTTTAATCTCATCTTATTTTGGGTATAAAAGTCACATTGTGACTTTATATCAGGATGCTTTAAAACTGAGTGACAGCCTTGTTGCTTAACTCTCACCAGTTTTTCTCAAGTCTCATTATCAAAAGCAGAGTGCATATTTAACAGTTGGAGCACTAGGAAGCAGTTTTCATTTCTTTCTGTTAGTGGTGATGGTAGATTTTGCAAGTGATGGTAGACCGAGTAAGTTGGCCAATTCAGAGCATTATTGAAATTGTACTGTCTTTTTTACTACTCTGAAATTCACTGGATCTACAAAAGAGTCAGTGCTACCTTTCAGAACACAAACTGCTGCTCTGTTACTGTTCGAGAAGTGTCTTGGTAAAAATAACCCACTGATGCTAGATATAGTGGTGTTGAGACGCTGTTGTTCTTTTGCACGGAAATATTCTGGTTAACGGAAGGTCATTTACCATTTTCCCATTAGCTCAGGGAACTCAACTATTTTATTTTTTATTTTGCTTAGGATGTTGTAAGTAGACAGATAATGACTATGAGAATTCACTGCTGCTGTTTGTTTTACCTGAAGTGATCATTATGAAGCAGAACAAACACAGTATTCATTTTCTTGATTTTTTCAGAGGTTGACCTTCTGTATCCTAGAGGAAGGCAATATCCTTGAATTGAAAAGAGAATTAAAATTGAATAGAAGTGGACTTACATTTGAAGTTAGTAATTAACCCATATCTAACACTGATAGTAGAACAAATACTTTAATTAGCACAGCTGGTGTCAAATACATGGAAGTGTATTTATATACATTATGTGTGTCAGAATTTTCAAAATAAATCATTAGCACTATACAACTTACATTTTAGGTGTTTGTTAATGTCATTAAAATGTATGGAATCTACATTATTGTTTCTGTTAAAAAAATAGGGTGCTATTTGGTCTTCATGCTCTCTGGCATATAGAGGCACAGAACAGTGCTCTAACTGTAAAAACAAAGGTTAAAAATAAATATCAAAATTGGTGGTTAATGGATGAAAACAAACTGGTCCTGGTTAGTTCATAATTTGCCTGTTCATTAAGTATCTCAGAATTTTCCTCAGCAACTGCAGCATTCATATAGATAAGAATAGAAGTGCAGTTCCCACATCATTAAACATTGTTAGTTCCCAGGGCTTTTATACATTCAGACCATCAAATCAATACATAGATAATGTACACTGAAGGGAAACATCCCTTGGATACCTCATGGCTATATTGACTATCTGGGGGACTTGTACCATGTTTAATTAGTACCATATGCCTTGCAGAAAATTCCACATGCCATTAGTTAAATGAGACAAAAACTAGATTTGTTATTAACCAGCAAAGCTTTTATAATTTTGTGTGTAAATGTGCACTGGGTTACTATTTTCTCATTAATCCACATTCAAAACATGAAATTATCTATGGGACAGGGTAAATTGTAACCACTGGCCAGTTTGATAACTCACATTGGAATCTTCTGAAGTAAGAGACACAAAGTTCCTATATGCAATGTATGACCAATCTGTAACTTTACTGCTGTCCCCACATTTTCATGTATTACCCGTTTTTTAAATGGGCAGTGTAACTAATGCTTAAAAATGGGTGTAGGATTATGGTAAACAGGAACTGTGTTCTATCTTCATGATCTGCTGTGATGGAATTATTTTCAGCCATAAAAATACTGGCATTTTCTGTATTTTTTTTCTCCCTGTGGATTTCACATTGTATTTTTATCTATTATTTCAACAGGAAAATTTTCACAAAAACAAAAAAATATTTTTGTAACAAATTGGACAATGACCATAACCGTATTAGGGACATTAAGTGGTGAGGTACTGATATTTTACTGAACACCACTGCTGAACAGTTTAACAAATTATGGATTAATGAAAAAAATGAAATAGTTTGCTGTGATGGAAGTCATTGAAGAGCTCAGTCTTTTCCCCACAGCGGGACTGATTACTATAGGGAGTGATTATAAGTGTTCATGTTGTCAGAAAAACAAATACATGTAATAAAAAAGTGTAAAACTGTGTAATGGAACAGTAGTTAAATGTTTCAATGAAATCTGTTTCCAATTATAAATGTTTACTGATGAGTTTTAGTTGGGTAATGGCATAGAGGTTTTGGGTTTTGTTACATTTAATTAAGAGCACAGTCAACACTCAAGAGGCAAATGTATGTCTGTCTAGGTGACTCCTGGTTGGGTTTTGTAACAAGTGTTGATGAGCTTAAAATGCTGTTTCTCAGAAGTTAAAAACTAAATAAACTGAAAATACTACAGCATAATTTTATATCCCTATATACAGTATATCTGGAAGAGCTAATGAGCTGTAAAACCACAATAGTGGTATAGAACAGACCTGGGCAAATCTAGTGTTAAGAAACAGGTATAAAGATAGTATCTTAGAGATAGGAAGGAAAAAGAACTTCATCTAAAAGAAGCACCGCAAGCCAGGCAAATAATGTTTCAGTGAGCAGCACATTAGATAATTTGCTATAATATTAATAATTTAAAGAGTATAATCCTAACTACAATTATTTCTTTAACATTTTAACACTTTTATGTCTTGGGAGGGGATAACAGCGATTTACATCTGTTGAGGAAAATAGACATCTTCCATGAAGCTGTTCAAACATATCACCAAGTAAAGGCTTCAGTTCTGCAAACATTTATGCATGATACTGTTTATGGGAACATTCTCACTGAAATAACTGAGGCTACTCCTGTATGCTGGAAGTTAAGTATGTGCTTAAGGATGAACTAAATTGCAGTGTTGCATGCTCTTATTGCATGCTTTTATTCTGTACTATAGTATTCCCTTCAGTGTATATGCAGGGCAGCTGTGATTTTAGCAGATCTCTGCAAGTAGACACAGAATTTACAAAATTACTTTTCTGTTTAGTGGCTAAGCCAGACTGTGAAGCACAGCCTTAAATGGAGCTAACATGGTGGAAACCGCAATATACGCGGCCTTCCCCTAGAAGACTTCAGGGCTCTTTGGAAAAACGTTTCTCTTTTTTCCTTTCTGTGCTAACTAGAATTGATTTGTTGCTAGTTTCACGTAGGAGCAAGATACCAATGCTTTTTGGCTTTGTGGTGGTACTGTTTGCCCAGCTGTTTGAAAGGTATCCAGCGTAGCCTGTAAGAAAAAAAGAGGGTTTCTTGCTTCCTTCTTACCTCTTTAAACAGACATAAAGTCAAATTTACAATCTACTTGTTTAAAAAAAAAAAAAAAGAATATTAATGTTACAGCAAGACTTGTTAGTTTCTCTTTTTGGTCGATGTTAAATTTCTCTTCATTATAGAAGAATTTGTGCAATGTTTGTTTGTTTGTTTGTTTTCCTTTTTAAATCAGATTTAAATTCTGCTTCTGTCAGTCAAGCTGCCGTAGCGTTAATGGTTAATCACTCATAGTTTGACATGGCCTGAGTAAAACCATACTCCGTAGGATTTTGTGCATGTGATTCTAATAATAAGGAACACAGTCTCAAAAGTGTCCTGCTGTAATGAGGTTTGCATGTTTAAGAAGCGGGTTGTGTGTTTCGGCCATATGGTGATAATAGGACTGAATATTGATCCGTTAGTTCAGAGTCTGCTATCCTCAACCCAAGTACCCAAACAGTGTTAGACACAGTTTAAAGACTCATGAAACTGGCTTATCACTGTGGATTTTAAAGCTGCTTGCATGCACGTTAGGGGAGAGAGAAGGAAGTGACAAAGACAGCATTGGTTAATCCCTCCTAGTATGCCATATTCCCTTGCAATCAGTTAGTATTCTTCGCATTTTCTTTCACTGTTGTTTGGGCTATGAAAAAAAGATATTGATGCCTGTTGCTCTGTTGAAAACCTATTTTTTGAGCTCCATGGATCTGAAACACTGTGGGTCTGTTTTACAGCCCACTGATATGAAAAGAGCATTTCTCACAGAAATTAAATCAAATCCTATAGGAAGAAATCATACAGTAGAGTCTTTAATTATAATATTATTCTAATTACATAACTCAAGTACTATTACTGTACATTTGCACACCTTTCATAGAAAGCAAAGCATGTAATGATT